TATATATATATATATCACTGTGGAGCTGATGGTGGGTCTATTTGGACCTATTTATGTATATTATTTTTGTTATCTGCAAATTTGTAGTTTATTACTATTAATATTTATTCTTTTTATGCAAATTACCTCATTTTTGTTCCTTCAAATTAATTAAAGTGCCTTTTTAGTCATCAAATCTCATAAATCCAGCATCAATAACTGTTACAGATTTTGACATTAGTTTTAGAGGATTAATGTAAATCATAATTCTAAATTATATTCTAAATTATATTCTAAATCATAATTTTGTACATTATAATTACTAATCTTTATTCAGCTCCTTACATAAATCGATTTATGTTGCTTTCTTTATATATGAAAAAAATGCGTGGTACGTAAAACGTAGTGATATGTATTGCGTAATTGCGTTAATATCTTTTACAAAGTATATTTGTATATGTACAAATTAAAGTGATAACATAAAACGTTAATAAAGAGATTATTAATCGATTACTATAAATGTTTGTATTTTGGTATTATAATATAACATTTTATATATTAATGTAAATATTAACATGCATTATGAATAATCTATTATAATTTCTCTTATAATTTTTTATTTGATAATTTCTCTTATTTAAATTATTCTGTAATGCCTCTTATAAAACATGATGTAAGTATCAAGATTTTACCAATATTTGTTTTTCATAACTTTTATATAACATTAGAGATATATATATAAAAATTTCTATAGAAACGTATATGCAATATCATAATCTACGTAATCTTACGCACCTAGTAGTTTTTATTTTATATATCTGTTATAGGTAGTACGTATAAAGGATTTTGCTTATACATAGTAAAATGTCGGCAGATGCTGCGATATCATTTTCCTAATAAATTGTCCATATCAATCAACTAAAAACGTTCAATTAACTCGCATTGGCAATGGCTCGGAGAATAAGACGCTTCATTCACAGTACAAGAAAAATGGTCTTAAGGCTTTTTAGATGCTTTCTGCAAATTATCCGTAAATGGCTCTGTAGAGGATTGGATGCTACAGTAAGTTCTATACGCGCGAATGTGCAACACAATGTGCGGAATTGCGAGACCATATTCTTAATAAAAAGTCTTAGTGATACGATTGTTTGATGGCAGTGGAAAATGGTACTTGCCATATTTGTTACATATTGGGGGGCAAGTCTTATGGTAGAAAGCAGTTGTCTCTGCGGTACCACGATATTGTAATTCTAGTATGTAGGGTAAGAATAGCTGCGGCTTTTATATGTGCTCATACACCAGAAACACCGTAATATAATATCGTGCACGCTTGCTAACTGCTTTATGCCAATATTTTATTAAGGCTTATACTCTGCTGGCTAAGCACATACCCGTTTCCTACGCTCGAGGCGTATCATCCCTTTGGAAGCTCTCTGACAGATCTGATTTCGAAAATTTGGTAACTTATTCCATCTCCTACCTCTCACTAATGTTTGATTCTGTCAATCACAAGCGATATCTGTTACATTTTTAATACAAAATTCTTTTTATAATTTCAGATAATTAAAAACATGCATTCTTTGCCATCACGTCCCACCCATGAGCAAATAAGAGTTCTAACTGTGAACAATGGAGAACATTTAGATGGGATATTATACAGATTAAAGAAAGGTTTTTAAAAAGAAATTTCGCTCCTCTTAAAATTATCTTTTAAACTGAATTTCGATAAGTTTTGTTACGGCATGTCTTCACTGTAAATGATTTTACATTACTCGCAGATTGGATAGTTGAGTTTCGACTTGGAGCTTCCCTTCTTGGAAAAACACTTGAGGTTTTTATAAACCATCCATTATCGACCGATAAGAAATTCGAGAGGCATACTTACTATCAATTGAAATGGATTGACGAATCGGCGAGCATACATTTAACTTTGTCAGGGTCATTCCATTATTATGTCACTAACCAGTAAGTGGATTAAGAATATTACGAGTAAAATTTTATTTCTTAATAATAAGATATGTCTATTTTGCAGAGTCGAAGGGAATATAAAACCTGTTGCATCCGGATACTTGCTGGTGGATCCTGAATTGAAAATAGGTGAACATGGGGAGAAATTACCTCTAGATTGTATTCAAGTCCAAACAGTTCTAGCAAAGAGTTTAGGACCTTTTTCTACATGGGAAAGTAAATTACTGGTAGCACGAAATTCTGGATATAACACAATTCATTTTACACCGATTCAGGTAATGTTCGCGCGATTGATGTATAATGTAAGAATACAATATTTGCAATAAACGCGAGTTTTGTTTTAGGAATTAGGACGTTCTAAATCGTCGTACAGCCTGAAGGATCAAGCTCAACTTAATCCCGCTTTTAATGATAACAATAAGATAGTTACTTACCATGATATCGAAACATTTGCAAATAAAATGCGTAATGAATGGAAGGTAAATTATTGTTTATCAAGAATAGGATAAATCGTGTATTCTTGCAAATATTCTCGAAATATATCCTTCAATTATCTTATATTTCAGATGTTAAGCATCTGTGATATTGTTTTAAATCATACGGCGAATGAGAGTCCTTTCCTGGTTTCTCACCCGGAGTGCACATACAACTGCATCAATAGTCCTCATTTACGTCCGGCTTATATCTTGGATGCAGCATTGTTTGAATTAACAACTCAGGTAGCTTTTGGAGAATGGGAATTTAAAGGTATTCCCACCGTAGTTGACACCGAGGATCATTTGAATGTAAGTCACAAATCATTCCCCAGTAATTAAAATTGAATTTTTTCGATCCTGCTTTAATGTATCTTGTATCTATTTTATTTTCTTTAGGCGATTCGACATGCTCTCCACACACATTTCTTGCCACTAATGAAGATACATGAGATGTACACCATCGATGTCAATGAAATTGTAGCAGAATTCTTAAATTCAGCGCGCAATGAGATGCCACAAGACATAAATAATATAACAACCGAAGACATTACAGTGATTCAAGATCCTGCATTTCGTAGATTAAAATCAACCATAGATATACAGCTTGCTCTGAAGAAGTATAATACGTATAGGTAAAATAAATGTAGATACGATAAGATATATAATGTATGCTCTCTCTCATATGCTTATGCATGATTCTTTTACTTTAGAGCTGATTGTTTCGATGAGGAAACTCGTCTGAAACGATGTGCAGAGGACTTGAAAAATAAATTGCAAGAACTCAATGAAGTTATTACCAACAATATTCAAAACCATCTAAATGCTGCTGTTGAAAATAGTATTGCTGGCATGAGATATTTTAGAGTGCAATCTGATGGTCCACAAATTAAAGAAATTAATGAGAAAAATCCTCTCATTCCCAGGTAATTTTATTTAAATTTGTAAATGTTATAACGTTATAATTTCTAAATATGACTCTTGATGTGATAAATATACATTCCGTAGATACTTTACCGATTACGGGACACCTAAATCTTTAATGGAAAGAGAAAGCATAATGTATTCAGATGATGGATGTTATCTTATGGCTCACAATGGATGGGTCATGAATAGTGATCCCTTGAAGAATTTCGCGGAGCCTGATTCTAATGTGTACATTCGAAGAGAACTTATCGCTTGGGGAGATAGCGTAAAACTCAGGTAAAAATATCAGTTAAACATTATTTAAATTTTCAATGAATTATTAGTAGAAAGTACATGTACAGATAATTTAAAATATACTATTAATATTATTATAGATATGGACAGAAACCAGAAGATTGTCCTTTCTTATGGCAGCATATGGTGTCCTATGTAGAACAAACGGCACAAATATTCGATGGTATTCGACTAGATAATTGCCATTCTACACCGATCCCCGTCGCTGAGGTATATCACAATTCTAAACAATCTTAATACAGCATTATTTAATAGCATGATTCTCTTTGCAGTATATGCTTGATGCTGCACGACGAATTCGTTCAGATCTCTATGTTGTCGCAGAATTGTTTACCAACTCTGATCAAAAAGACAACATCTTTGTGAATCGTCTTGGCATCACATCTTTAATAAGAGGTCAAACTTTTTAAAAATTGTTATTTACTTAATATTGTTAAAATACAGTTAATAAAAAAAAGAACATGTCGCGAATAAAAATACATCAAAATTGTTATATTGTAGAAGCTATGTCTGCTTGGGATAGCCATGAACAAGGAAGATTAGTATATCGATACGGAGGAGAACCAGTTGGAGCATTCCTGCAGCCACGAACACGGCCGTTAATACCGAGCATAGCTCACGCTCTGTTCATGGATGTGACTCACGATAATCCTAGTCCAGTAGAGAAACGAAGTATTTTTGATCTACTCCCGAGCGCAGCACTCGTATCGATGGCGTGCTGTGCTAGCGGTAGTAATCGCGGATACGACGAATTAGTGCCTCATCACGTAAGTTCGTAGTACAAATTCAAATTTTTGTATTTTTGCCATGAAGTTCTATATATTTACAAGATTTTCTGAAATTTTATTTTCTTCAGATACACGTGGTAGATGAGAAAAGGCAGTACACTTCATGGATAGACAACGATTTGACAAACAACGTTAAATTTATTAATTCGAAAACTGGTATAATTGCAGCTAAAAAGGCATTAAACGATTTACATTACATGCTTGGTCAACAAAAATTTCCACAAGTATGTCATCAATTCCTCAAGTTTTGCGATTTGTGTGTGTGTGTGTGTGTGTGTGTGTGTGTGTGTGTGTGTGTGTGTGTGTGTGTGTGTGTGTGTGTGTGTGTGTGTGTGTTAGAAAGTCAATGTATGTAACTAAAAATTTATTTTCTGATTTTTAGGTGTTTGTCGATCAAATGGATACTGATATAGTGGCCGTAACAAGACACTCGCCGACTACTCACGAAAGTGTAGTCTTGGTTGCATTCACAGCCTTTAAACACCCGGACTCTAGCGCTCATGATCTGAGAAAGCACGTAAGACCACTGAGAGTGGAGGGTATAGTGGAAGAAATTATTTTAGAAGCGTCACTTTCGCACATTGATGCCAAGTAAGCGGTAAATTTTATTTTCTTTAAAAGGAAGATTTACATGTTTATGTTAATTGATAAATCGCTTTACAGAAATGGTAAACCACTTTTCCTTTTGCCTGAAAAATATACAATGGACGAAAATATCATAAATGGATTGTCCGAATATTCATTGAGCCTTAAACAGCACATACAGTGTTGCGACTCCACGATGATCGAGAAGATCGATTCCGGCGATCCTAAAATCACGCAGCTTAATTTTGTGAACTTCCAACCCGGTTCTGTTATAGCTATACGGTATAAACTACAACTTTCTGTTCCCAAAACTGCGATATCCTTTAATTTTCTTATGTATGAATTTAATTTCAGTGTGGCTCTTCACGCGAATATAGTACCTGCTTTAATGAAACTCCAAAATACTATCTCGCAGATTACTTCAAATGAAAAATCAGAATTACATAATATAATTTCCGGCATGGACTTCTCAGATTTAAATAAAACGTTATATAGATGTGACCAAGAAGAACGAGAGGAAACTCAGAGCAAATTTGGAGTGTATAATGTACCGGGATATGGTCCTCTTGTATATGCTGGATTGCAAGGTAATATTTAATTGAATATGAGAAGAATATATTTATAAATACTTCATATTTTCTTAATTACAACTCGTACATCAATATATTGGCACGAGTTTTATTTGTATCTTATTGCTGTTTAATAAGTGCCTCAGCTAATGAGCGTTCTCAATTTAGGTATTATATCTTTACTGGCTGATATTCGTCCAAATAACGATCTAGGACATCCCCTGTGTGTCAATCTTAGACAGGGTAACTGGTTAATAGGTAATATAACAGAAACCATTTCCAAAATAATTGTATGTTATGATATTGACGATATGTGATAAAAATGGTAATTAAAAAATTATTAGATTACATGTGGCAACGTTTAAAAGAGGATGACGACACTAAACCTCTTGGAATTTGGCTTGAACAAACGACAGAACCGTTCAAAGTAATCCCGAGATATCTTGTGCCAAGTTACTTTGATGTTATAATTGTGAACGTTTATAGAATTCTTTTAGATCACTGCAACAATTTAATGTCAGAGTAAGCATCAAAAGTCGAAATTTATTAGAGTATCAAAAGTTAGAAGTTTTATCAACTTAGAAGTTTTCTAATTAATATTTTGAAAAGAATAAAATATCTATAACAAAAAAATTAATCATATGTTATTTGTTTAATATTTTTATTCCAGCTTTGTTAAGAACGGAACTACATTTGTTAAATTACTGAGTTTGGTTTCGATACAAATGGGTGGTGTGGTAAGATCATCACAATTGCCAAATTTATCGCCGGATCTTAGTTCACCTAAGCCAAAAATTAAAATCCATGACGGAGTAGCAGAGCAAACATGTTTAACATTATCGGCAGGCTTACCGCATTTTACAACGGGTTACACAAGAAATTGGGGTAGAGATACTTTCATTGCTATGAGAGGGCTATTACTTTTGACTGACAGGCATGTCGAAGCAAGATTCATAATTCTTGGATTTGCCGGTACTTTACGACACGGCCTGATCCCCAATCTGCTCGATAAAGGAAATAATGCGAGGTATAATATACTTTCTTAGAGCATCTTTAGGATAATATTTTGGGAAGTTTTGATTTAAGTCTTATCATCAATCTCATTCTTATAAATAGATACAATTGTCGCGATGCTTTATGGTGGTGGCTCTATACGATAAAATGTTACGCCGAGGAAGTGTCGAATGGTTTGGATATTTTATCCGATAAAGTTTCAAGATTGTTCCCGACTGATGATTCACCAGCTTTGGAGGCAGGAGAACATGTAAAAAAATAGCCGCAAATTCAATTATAATTCAATATAAATAATTTAAAAGTGCACGTTATGTGACATGTAAAAATGGTTTCAGGATCAACCATTATATGAAGTAATTCAGGAAGCTCTCACAGTACATTTTCAAGGTCTCTGCTTCAGAGAGAGAAACGCCGGGAAACAGATCGATGAGCACATGACCGATCGTGGATTCAATAATCAGATCGGTGTTCATCCCGAAACAGGTTTTGTATTTGGTGGCAACGATGCTAATTGCGGTACCTGGATGGACAAGATGGGATCTTCTGAAAAAGCTGGTAATAAAGGCAAACCAGCTACCCCCAGAGACGGTTCCGCTGTAGAGATAGTTGGGCTGAGCAAATGCATTCTCAGTTTTTTGGCCGAATTGTACAAACAGAATCTTTTCCCGTACGGCAGTGTTCAACGTAAAAGTCGCGATGGTAAGGATATCTAGAACACTTAACGTTTCAATATTATTAATTTTATATTTTTTTCTAATTATAATTATACATGAACTATAGGCCAAACAATAACTTGGAGTTATAAGCAATGGGCCGACAGAATTCAAACAAATTTCGAAAAGTACTTTTACGTAAATGAAATTCCGTCACAGAGCGAGTCGAAACCCAATTTAATCCATCGACGAGGTATATTCAAGGACAGTCACGGAGCAACGCAAGAATGGGCGGATTATCAATTGCGGCCTAACTTTCCCGTTGCGATGGTCGTTGTGAGTATTATTATCAGTGTTTAAAAATATTCTGCGAAGTGTATAAAATAGAAAAAAAGTATTTTATATTACAACAAATCTAATCATAATTCATAATAATTCACAAATAGGCTCCGGAACTGTTTAATCCTCATCATGCCTGGACAGCACTGAAAAAAGCGGAAGAGATATTACTTGGCCCACTAGGAATGAAGACGTTAGATCCTGCGGATTGGGCATATAATGGATATTATGACAATTCCAATGATGGTACCGATGCTAAAACAGCACATGGATGGAATTATCATCAAGGACCTGTAAATATCCTTTATCATAACCGCATATTCGTCTTGAAATATAAAGATTGATAGATTTAACATTCATGCAAAATTCTTAAACATCTATTTTATCTTTCCTAATTTTTTCAGGAATGGATCTGGCCGATAGGATATTTCCTACGAGCGCGTTTACACTTTGCGTCATTAATCGACGATGAAAACGAATTACACCATATGATCGAATCGACTGAAGCTATTATTTCTCGGCATTTTATCGAAGTGTCAACCAACCATTGGAGAGGCCTTCCTGAGCTTACCAACAAGGATGGAAGTTACTGCTCAGATAGTTGTCGCACTCAAGCTTGGAGTGCTTCAGCTATATTAGAGGTTTGTGCTTGAAGCGAATAAACTTCGTATAGTATTTTTTTCTGGTATTTGTCATGGTATTTTTTTCGGATTAGTATTATCATTTATGAGTTTACAATATCAATATTTAGTGCCTGTTTGTTTGGGATTCAGGTACTCTACGATTTACAAAAGATCAAACAGGAATTGGGATCCGAGGGAATGCGATCCAAGAATTGATATAACTTTGCGTGTGTTCATCACTATCAGCTGCACCTAAAGCAATTAAAATTAGAGACGAGATGTAATGACACCACGAACAGAGCGGATGACACGAATGTAAGCTTTTCCACTGAAGCAATAATGACACTGCGCACACCAGAAACACACGCATATCATATCCCGCACGTAGGTGTAACGAACACGCAAATTTGCAAATCTGTAGTCGCTGCTGATAATACATTCATAAAAAACGATATTACCGCCGAAGAAGGATCGATCTCTGCGATTGATAGGAAACGTGATGACGCAAATTTTGATAGCTCATCCGATTCGAGAAAGATTCCATTAAATGTGAGAAATAAGGTACATCTTGATAATCAACGGAAAGCTGAGAACTACAATCGACAACAGGTGATTGGAAACCATGAAGCTACTATTCGAAACTTAGCGAATGTTGATCATGTTTACGAAGAAATTAGAGCGATTAAGCAGCCACGTAATAGTTTATATGAACACGACATTCAAGATTATTATGAGAAATATAGTCCCGCTACGGCGAAGACCTTGATAGACACGCTTTTCTTGCCGCGACATACAATTTGCAGGGAGTGCGCGAGAACAAAGGGCAGTCCAGTGTACACTGATCGTTTGATATACACGAAAAAGTCGTTGGTCGCTATAGAAGTAGTTCTATGTCAGTATGATGACGTTTCATGCTTCAAGTATCCGCACGAAGATTCCGAGGATATTTTCTGCTCGCAATACAATCAAAATCAAGATTATATGCTAGTTTATAATTACACAAAAACTAACGTCGCGGGAATATTCTATTTTCATCGCTTGCCTCAAGACATCTTTGATCTGCAATCGCTGTTAAAGCCGAACATCTATGTTATAAATCGCACTTGTTGCAATCTTACAGTAAATACTCACTTATATCATCGCTGCATAAATAGTTATCACATGAGAACATCGAGAGCTGGTTGCACACCTATGACATTTTATCATGATTATGGCACTGTAATAAGCAGCACGAAATACATTAGCCATTCAGAAAATCCGCCGATTTATCAGGTACGCCGATCAAAGGGTGACCATATTGATGAATACCGGAGAAGTAGATCGAGCTTATTACTGTTGGAACCGTTACTGCTAATACCGGAATCGGCGGATTCTGAACAAAGAGAAAATACCAAGAGTAAGATTTCGCAGTCAGAATGCACAAAAATTATCAAAATAATAATAATCTACGCATTATCATTTCTTATTCTTACAAGCATTACATTTTACATCGTTTATTTTACTTAGAGCGGCTGATTGTATGGCGAGATATTTAAGAAAATTTAATCATATTCGAATGTTACATGATACATTTATTGTCATTAATTTTACGTTACATTTGTTACGAAGTGTTGTCGCCAAAATGTTTAACAGAATGATCAAAATCGCATGTATGCATGATTTATATTTCGTTATATGTGTATATATTTTATATCCATTATCAATGGGGTAATTTCGTCAATTAATTAATGACAAGAAATTATTTCGTGATATACAAATTGTTAAATCTGCATCACTATGAGCGAATCATTTTTATCTCTATCAAATTACACGCGTAACAGATATACAATATTTTAACAAGCTTGCATATAATTCATAAATATATTTTATATATATATCTTTAAACTCTAGAGAGTGATATAGTCGTTTTAAATAGCATTATTGAGGTTTATAAAAAAAAATGTTATTCGAGACACGTGCTCGAATTAATCTCAAAAGTCGAAGATTTAATTCCTTTATATGTTGTCTATTAAAGTATCAAATATTTAGTTCCTATTGTTAATTTCATTCACGATATTAGAAATGCAGGAATTGATTTTAGTGACGTCTTATTTATATAAATACTTATTGACAAATAAGATTCATAAATAAAAATTGATATGTTTTAATACATTTTCCTCAAGAAACAAAGCCATTAAAAATTTCGAAATTTTCGGTTGAATCTCATGGATCAAAAAAAAATATTCTGCCATTTAGCGGTTCCATGATAATGTCAGAGAATTTTCCATTTATATATAATCTCAAGAGGCTATTCTACAAAGTAAAGGAATTGATATAACCATAAAGTACTGGATTTAAGATTGCAATTCTCTCAATACTAAAAGAAGAATGTCCATGCACTGACATGCACTGACATGTACTATGGTAGCATGTAAATGACAAACTTTTTCTAACAAATAAGCGTGCCGCTAATATTTTGTATATTCTCTTATTTCAAAAGATTATTTGAGTTATTATAATTAGAATTTTTTTATAGAGGAATTTATTTTTGATTTTAGCTCATGTATTCTCATTTTTATAGATGATACGTGTTATAAACGCACTTGATTAATGTAAGATTAATGTAAGATTTTTTGCTTAAAGGAAGTGCTAAGAGGAATTCCCCGCTTATCAGCAGAATATTTTTTTTTTGGTAATATATCTTAAATTGTAAATATATATATTTGAATCGCAAAAAGTATGGGAGATACAAATTTTGTAATAAAATAATTGACAAAACTTCTAATTAGTACTAGAAGTTTCATTCTTGTATTTATTTTGAAATGCCTTCATAATATAAATTCCCATATTTTAATTTTTAAATTATTTGCGAATATTTACATTGGAGATTAATTTTATTATTATTGTTATATACTGACTTATTAAATTTTCCTGTTAGTCACACCGAGTCGATCTTTTTATATCATTTCTATCCATTCATCATTCCAAAACTTTATAAACTATTTGTAATACAAATAGAATTAAAATGACTAGAACAAATTAAATTTTTCAAACAAACGGAAGTTTTTTTGTAATTTTAAATATATATATATATATATATATATAAAATAAGTTAATATTGTCAAGATTAATTATTATAAGAGAAATATTCAGGTATAATCTTACTTATAAAAAGTTACATATCAATGAATAATTATTTCAGGTACGTATAGTTAAAAAAATCATATATAAATTATTTATTAGCTCCAACATAAGTCGAACTATACAAAACTTAAAATAATAACCGAAGAATAAAAATATTTGTCCTAATAAACATAATATACATATTAATATTAAGTCGAACATTCATTGCATTATCACTGATCTATCTTCCGCCGTAATCACAATTTTATTTAAAAAAAAAAAAGTTTTTGTTTTAAGATCTGCACATCTTTCATTCTTAATCCAACTTGTTCATATATAATAAATTATAAATATATCTCATAATGATACAACTTTATTTTAGTTCGTGCTCCTACGTAGTAATCAGATTCAAAATGCTACAGGCATGTAAAGCCTTACACTTCACGTTTAATAAGATTCATTATGTTGCTTCTTATCGACGTACATCATATTGCTCAATACAAATATCGTGTAAATCCTTAAAAGCCAATTGACAGGTTCTACACTAGCACCTAAACCATATTTATAAAAATACGGTTATGCCTTTTAAATATCATCGAACAGTCCTCTGGGTGGAGGACCTACGCGACTTGTACTTGTAGAAAATGCCCTCGTATTACTCGGCTCGAATGAATCAATATCACCTTGATTTTCCATATCGTACCGATTTGCACCATAACTATCTCCACCAAATGTCATACCGATGTAATATTCCGTGGGATCGAAATCGTGCAATAGACCCGCCCTAGCGGATTCAACTGATTCATCTCGTTTTAACGGCCGTACTGAAGAATTGTCAACGATAAGTTACTTATATAATCTATATATTATATGATATCATTTATTTTTCATTATACATACCAGTGTCTGTACTTTGACGAGACGTCCTGTAACGCGTACCCACCGAAATATTAAATCTTTCCTGCATTTCGCGTCGTCTGTACATAGAATCCTCCGCTCTTTGTCGTTTACGTCTCTCTACAACAAGAAAAAAATACGCTATTTTTTTCTTTTATCTCAATGTTTATTTCTTCAATATTGTTAGATATTAATACAAAGTCAAATTGTAAAGAAATTTTATGAAATATATACATCGCGTTAAAAAGTGCAATTAATAATATATAATTTATCAATACCTCTTTTTATAAGTTCTCTTCCTTCATCTACGAGATCCGTCGTAAATTCGTCATCGTCAAGAAATTGCTGAAAGCCTAGCATGGAAAGCAATCGACTGCCTATGCTAAAATACGTAGCTAAGCAAAATGCTAGAATTGCCATTGGAAAGTATACATTAAATCCATCAGATATTATAGAAATAACGTCCATATGACCCATCACCTGACAAAAAAAAGGAACAATAAAGAAACAATAAAGGTAGAAACCAATTTTTTAAAATTTACAGATCATTTAAATAATATTACTTGTGTATAATGCGTTTCCAGGATATGAGTTTTGATAATATGTGAATCCATGTGAATAAGTCCCAGAAAATTAAGACACATTGGCGGGGTTAAGCGACACAGCATCATACCACTGAATATAAGACTGTATTCATTCGTTTGATGATGGGGTGCCAGATAATAAAGATTCAATACTCGTATCTTCAAGACGGTCGAGTAGGCACAATAGCAAAGATATGCAATGATCAATGTGGACAATACCTAATAATTGAGTAGAAACATGATATAAATAAAAATGTACACTATATGAAATAATAAACGCAAATGTTTACCTCTATAGTAAAGTAATCATAATTTCTCTTTGCTAAATTCAGAAATCGAGCGAATAAAGATAATACAGGAGACTTGTTGAAGAATGTTACTTCTGACCATACCACAGCCACTGATAAACAGCCGGCGCAAATAGCGGCTGCTTTTAAAACATAATCCTTCACAATACATTTCCAATACCATTCTGAAATTTAAGTGACAAAATTACAGAATCGAAAGCTACAAAAATTAAATTATTAAACGAACATTATGTGATATCAACACAGCAGAATAAAATGCAAAACAAAACGAGATGTTACTTACCGACAACAGGATTGTAAATAATACGAAACGGAAGTGAATGATGTGTAGGAAAAGCCTGTTTAAATCTTCTATCGTGACTCACTTGATTCTTCGCTACATCTTCCAAATCAAATATTTTATCCACTAAAATGCCCCATTGAGTTTCTATGCGTTGTAAAGTCTGCAACGCTTTTATAGTCTGAAATAGAAATAATAGCGAT